ACAGGGCTGATGTGGATATCTGAAAACAAAACAAAACAAAACAAAACAAACAAACAAATTGAACATTCTCTCTCTCTCTCATTCCACCTCTCAAATACATGAATAGGAATACATTTACAACAGACAACAAGATATTATCTACCTGCATTTCTCCTTTATAATAGTAAGGAAAACATCCCCAGCCCCAGTTTCCTTTTTGTGACCCTGTAATCGCTGAGCTCAGAACATATAGATGTAGTAAAACTTTGTGTCTGCTAGGATTTGACTTCTGTGTCCCTCTCTAATCTTTCATTTTTTTAACATTTAAACAATAAAACTAATCAAAAGGTTGTCACTGACATTAAAAAATGGAACCTTTGTGAGAACTGCCCTGCCCATCCCATATATGAAGACAAAGCTAGAAGCCACTCTGAGGAATGCATACATCTTTAGACAATGAGTTGGCTGGTGGCTTGCTTGTAGAGCTCTCAGCCTTGAGCTCTGTAGCAATGCATTTTTCTGGTTTACAGATTATCCAGAGTCAGATATTTGTCAAAGAAGCAATAAGGACTAAGGCATTATTATTACTCCGAAAATTCAATAGTTGTAGTTCAGACACAACCTATACCATTATTCATGAGAAAATTTAAGCTCTCTTTTCCTTTAAAATTGTTCCTAATTGTTTAAACTTCAGATTGAAAGCCCAGGGCAACAATTTTGAATATGGGTATCCAGAGCACATTAGGGTGTATTTAGGTGGCAAACCAGGAACCTGGCATTAGAGTCATTTGAACAAGGTTTCTGAGCGTGTTCTAGAAGAGTAGTTGGATTTTAATGAGTCACAATGCCCAAGATTGTCTACAGCCATACCACCTGAATGCACCCAGTCTCATCTGTCCTCGGAAGCTAAGCAGGGTTGGGCCTGGTTAGTACTTGGATGGGAAAATGCCCAAGATGTAGCTAACACATCATTTGCTATCTTTTTATTGTCTTTGCAAAGATTTTTGTCTTTCTTGAGTTGCTCTTGCAATCTAATGATTTTTATACATTTTTTTCTTTTGCTTCAAGGTCATAATGCTACTTAGTAAAAATTCTTTTGGAATCTGATTTTCTGATAAAATCAGAAATGTTGAAGTAGAGAAAAATATACGTTGTACTGAAAATCTGTTTTATGAGAGTAGAGAATTTATTTATATTTTGGAAGGGAAATCCATACTTTTCCATACAAACACTAAGTAAATGACACATGTCAAAGTGAATAAATTGTTGAGATATCCTAATTTTGGTCTCTTTAGCAAATACAAGTACAATTAGTGTTTTGGTTCTTCCAGACAAGCTCTAAGTTTGCAACTCAATATCTTCATAATACATTTCATTTTCTGTCCTGCAAAATGTATAGTTCATGTTCATTTTTGTATGTTTCTCAGTCCCAAATTATTCCAGCACAACACTGTTAGACTTTACTCTCACTTTTGCTTCCATTTCACAACTTGCTAATGAGCTTTAGAGTCTATAAAGATAAGGGAGTTGTGATCCTTTCCTTTAACAATAATTACACAGCTTTTAGTCCTCCTAGGGTAAATAGCAACTGAGGATTTCCATAATTGTTAAGTGCAAGTCAATTGTGTAGTTACTCTATTTCTTCATCAAAATTCTCAAGTCTTCCAACATCACTATGTACATACAGCTATATCAGTGGTGTTCAACTCCAGCTTACACATTCAACTCACCTGGAACCTTAAAAGACATGCCCATGTCTGAGGTTGATTCTCAAAAATGTGCACTTAATTTGTCTAGGGTGATAGTCTGTCACTGTTCAAAATATTTTTAGAAGCTCTAAGAACAATTCTAAATGAGCAGCCATGGAATGAATTGCTGCTCCCCTTAGTATTTATCTAGAGCACTGTGAATGCGTGGAAAATCTTCTCGTCTGTTGGAGTCTTCAAAATGTTAAAGTTAGAGATTATACCTAATTTATATATTTATTTTGATATTGTTGGTCATGACTTCCAGAAAACTTACAAACACAGTCCTCTGTGAGGCACTCCAGAAAATCCCAAAAATCAAGACCACAATATTTTACTTAAGAGCATAAACTAAATGGAAATACAAGACAACAAGCAAACTGAATACAACATTGATATGACTTAGCAAAGCTATGAGACAGGTAAATACAAAATATTAGGAGAGAGAATCAAATCCAGCAAGGCCAGAAAAAGATTAAGAATCTATTATTTACGCACATATCTAAAACCAAAAAGTTTTTTCTCAGGGTCTAACACAAATGCAATATTTATCCTTGGCAGTAACGGGGTGAAACCTTGTAATTTATAAACATAATTTGCAAATTTCACAAAGATTCTTTATATGCTGTACCAGATGCTAATGCCGTGAAGATAGTTCTGTGTCTCCTAATTGTATCACAGTTTAAAAACTGATTAAAACACATGATTAACTCAATCCTTAAGGTAAAAGCTTCTGGTTCCAGATAAAATAGAGTAAACACAATCTATCATTATCCTAATCAAAATGAAACAGTGTAGACAAATACATGCCATAAATGAGAAGGTTCTAAGTGATGAAGAAATTAAGGGAAATTGGATAGGGATCTGAGGTCTTGAGAAATGACATGATAGAATGTAAATTTTTTCCTTGACTCTATCTCAAATTGGATAGCAGAGAACCACCTCTAAAACAAGATTACGCTACAAATAACACCCAGAGAAAGTCAAACCGGGGCGGGGGGTGCGGAGAACAGAACGTCCTAACAGAACATGCAGTTTTTAATCACCCTTGACTGTCCTGGAGTAAGAACTACAAAAACTGGCATTCTGTCTGCATCCAAGGATGACACAGGGAACGGGCTGAAGAGATGGGGAAGGAAGGGGTGATCCGATCAGAGGTTCACCCTTGTGAATGCCTGCATCCAACATCACATTATATGAGCTCAAGGCCTGACTCCACCTCCGATTCCAGCTTACTGATATTATGCACAATGGGAGTTGGCAGGCAACACTTGAGACCTTGGATCCCAGCCACACTTGGAGAGACCTGCACTGACTTCCAGGATCCCAGCTACAAATACATATAAGTAATGAATAGAGAAACAAACAAATAAAGTCACATATACTATATTACAGCAAGGTGAGAATGGGAAACATTTTTGCTTAGTATAGACCACAGGCAGAAACTGTCTTGCATCCCCATTCCTAGTTCAGTAGATAGAGGGCCTTCTTTGCCCAGGGAGTCTGTGATTTGAACAATCTTCAAACTTCCATGAAATAAAAAGAATAATCCTCTCTCCAGCAGAGCCTGAAGTTAGAACTTTCTCTCTCTATGATGGTAACAAAACAACACAAATATGTGGCAACAGGAAGGTCTGGGGGAAGGGCATGGATATTCAGAGTAACTTGTGCATGAAAATTTCTTGTGGCGATTGAGTAGTATTAGAGTAAAGGTTATGGTAATGGTCATGGATTTATGAAACTGCAAATCCTGTGTCTGTGAAAAAAAAAAAGACAGTAGAAAAAATTTAGAACTTGAATAAGCACTACAACCAAGTTAACAGAATTAAATCAAAATCAGTTTTGAGAAAGAAAGGAAGGAAAGAAGGAAGAAAGAGAAAGAAAGAAAGAAAGAAAGAAAGAGAAAAGGAAAAGAGAGAAAGAAAAGAGAGAAAGAAAGAAAGAAAAAAGAGCAGAAAGAAAAGAGAAAGAAAGAAGGAAAGAAAGAAGGTGAACTGACAGCTTATACTTAGTGAGGTGTCTGTTATTCAGTTCTACTTTACTTTAGTTTTTTTCTGAAAACCCGGACATTGAAAACTAGATCCTACACATGATTTGAAAAGCCCTTGTTTCACCAATCAAAACTATTTCCAATATATTACTAAACCCACTATGACTAATGAATGAGAATTTTTCCATAACTTGCAAGATTTAGGTTTCTAGTTAAAGCTGAGCATCTACATGAGAAGGAAGATGATTTTTCAAATCTGAATAATGCATTTTATAAAAGATGCTCATGAATGCAGTCACAGCCAGAGAATATTAGATAAGCTTAACTGGATGGGGCACGGGAGTGTGGACAAACGATTGAGGCCAATGTATTCTATAACAACGTTTAAAAATAACTAAATTTTATGGGGCCCGGCGTGGTGGTGCAGTGGTTAAGGTCCTCGCCTTGCATGCCTGGGATCCCATATGTGCGCCATCCCGGCAGCCCCGCTTCCCTTCCAGCTCCCTGCCTGTGGCCCGGGAAAGCAGCAGAGGACAGCCCAAAGCTTTGGGAACCTGCACCTGCGTGGGAGACCCGGAAGAGGCTCCTGGCATAGCATCGGCATAGCATCGGCTGTTGTGCTCACTTGGGGAGTGAATCATGGGACGGAAGATCTTCCTCTCTGTCTCTCCTCTCTGTATATCTGCCTTTCCAATAAAAAAATAATAAAAATAAATCTTTAAAAAATAACTAAATTTTAAAGGGTTGGAGAAAGGTAGATGAGCATTATAAATATTGATGATTACATTGTGTTTTGCCTCATGCCTTTTGCTTAAGGAATGGAAAGTTTTCTCATTTAATTCCATCATTTAGGTGATAAAGTTCTGTATTGATATCTCTTTTTCGATTGGTACAACTAAATGATGAGGCAGCTATGAGCCTTGCCTCTGGCAAAGCAGATCAAAGTAATAAATTATGACCTAGATTTCTCAAAATCGTCGACTCTACAACTAAATTAGACCATTTCCAGGTAAATCTATCAGCATATGATTCCTTTGTACAAGCAGAGATTGATATTGAAATGCCATTTCTTTCTCAACAGCATAGCTTTAAAAAAAATGCTGCCAGGACAGTGCTCTACAATAAGCAATATGTGCAGGCATGTTTAAGCTACAGAGCAAGCTGGAAATGATAGAAACTATTCATCCAACAGTCCCAGATTTTTATCTTTAGCTTATATACAGACTTGCGCAAAGAGAACATATTATCATTAGTGGAATGCAAGTGTTTCTCTTGTCTTTACTCACTTTCTTCTCTCTGTTTCAAATCTATGGAGTAACTTCCGAAGACCACCGTTCTTAAACCCCTGGAAATGGGCAGCTGGGGCTCCCACAGTGATGACATCGTAGAGAGCATCTGGAACAGAAATGAACAAGGAGATGAACATTTTGCAAACATTTATCTGTAGCATGCTGGTTTCATTGACACATAGATACTGTGGGGAGTTTGAAAAAAATCTGTTTAATATCATAAAAATTACTATGTACTCACATCTCAAGGGGGCAAGAGGAACTAATGAATCTTTCTAAAAGCCACCTGTGCACCTAAACAAGTTATAATACTTCCCTGATTTATGAGTGCATCTTAATTATATGCTACAGCATAGAACAATATGTTCTTTCATTCTCCTATATACTTACTGAGATAACATGCTAATTGGTCTTTTGTGTATTTTTCCTTTATTGGTTTTGCATCATTTAATTACAATCATTGAAATTCAACTTTAATGAAGAACTGTTCAGACAAATTTTATGCAGAAAGGAATCAAAATATTAACACATTTTGATTCAAGGGCAGAACAGTACTATCACACTTTTTAAAAATTCTATATAGAGTAGTATCCTGCTTATACACACTAAATCTCACACAGTTTTGAATACATATTTTTGCAATTTCCTTAGTGGACATGGAAAGAATGTACAAAATAACTTGGTCCATTTTCCAGGAGATATTTTGCTTTTATAATAAAAATCCATACATTTAAATTGAAACTCAATCCTTTGATCTCTAAAACCATCAGGTTTGATACATATTAAGTTTATGACTTCCAACACATGCCATCACTTTTTTACATTCAAATGAAAACTATCCCCATAAAAAGAAAGAGTAAATGCCTTCTTGTTAGACTATATCTTGTCTGAGAAATCTAATTTCACAGTAGATTCTTTTCAGATTGATTTGAATATTGACACAATAGTTTTTCAGATCTCATTTACTGTGAACACATAAATTATCTTATTTGCTTTAGGTAAACACAATAACTTCTTCAATGTAGTTCAACCCAGATGAACCCGGGATTTTGTTTTTTCTATAAATGAAAAGTTTCAGCAGCATTCAGAAAATACAAGGTCACAAGGAACACAATGCAACACCATCAGACACATGTATAAAGAACAGTTTGAAATATCACCATGGAGCTTGCTTTGCGGCTCCAAGGACTAAGCTGTCACTTGGAAAACTTACAGCCCATATGGTCACTGATTTGAACCTTGGCTGCTCTGCTTCTGCTCCAGATTCCCACGAATGCATTTGGAAAAACAGCAGAGGACAACCAGCTAATCAAACCCCTGCCACTCATGTGGGATACCTGGATGGAGTAATAGTCTCTTGGGTTTGGCCTGGCTCAATGTTACTGTTGTGGCCATTTAGAGTCAATTAGATCTTTCTTTTTGTGTGTGTCTGTCTCCTCTCCCACTCAGTAATCCTGTCTTTCAAAAAATAAATAAATAAATGAATCAATCCTGATAAAAGATAGATCTCAGTAGCAATAAGCTCTTATCTTTTAAAACCCACTTTAAAAGAGAAGTTTGTTGTTTTCAAGATAAAATAATATCGGATTTTTAAGAAACCTAAATTTTTTCCTACTCTATCTGAGAGTAACCTAGGGCTAGGGAAACAGCTTCACGGTATTCATGGAAATATGCAGATTAAATAAGCACATTCCTTCTATACTTCAAGGAAAGACACTGAGTTTCTCACAAATCATGACATCACCCTAAAATTATTAACTCTAAATTCTACTCTACTTCAAGTACATTGAAGTGTTAATTCCTTTAAGAATCCACAGATATCATATTCAAAGTCTTCAGATTGTCATTTAACCCTGGTAGTTGAAAATGAGTCCCTGGAACTGAATTCAAACTGGGAAGTTAGCTGGCATCAGGAAAAGTATCAATTTTCTCAGGTTAAAAAAAAAAAGAAATTGAATGTAATTCAAATAATAATTATTCAGTAAATATGAATATTTTATCTATAGGAAGCAATTTTACACAAGAGAAGGTGGGTTATAATTTGATTTTTGCCAATTTCTTCATTACCTACCTACTATAGTTTGAAATGGAAACTGGTATTTAGGCTCTGTCTTCTGAATGGGATGATATTCTGTGTTAATTCTAACTAAATGCCAACAGTAACTCATCACAACATAGTGATGTGTTTATCCCAAAGCATGAGTTACCAGCAACACCAATAAGGTATAGAAATAACAGAAATGATTGTCCAGCATTAAGAAGCAAAAGGTACTGGGCCCAGAGTGATGGCTCAGTTGGATAATCCTCCACCTTGCAAGGGCCTGGTTTATATGCAGTCGGTAAATGTCCCAGCTGGTCCACTTATCATCCAGCTTTCTGCTTACGGCTTCAGAAAGATATGGAAGAAGCTCCTGGCTTCTGGTGTCAGCTCTGGCCATTGTGTCCACTTGGGGAGTGAACCAGAATATGGAAGATCTTTGTCTCTGTCTCTCCTCCTCTATATAAATAAGTCAGAGAATGACAGTTACTTCACTTATATTTACTTGTAGGTCTAATGATCTCCATGAGTTTTCTAACAAATAATCATATGAAAATTGACTAGGAGAGTAAATCAGTCAATGGGTACATGGTTCTTTGTTTACAAAACTATTGGCACAATAAATTTTATTGTTCAAATCATTTTTCTTTTTTTTTATCTTATTATACAGTTCCATAGGCTCTGAGACATACAGTTCCAATTACAGATGAATGAGTTCCACAGATGTAGTTTGACACATATTGTTTGTAATGAACACTATATTAATAATACTGTGCACTGAACTCGGTGTCAAGAAGATATATCTGATGTTCATGGTTTTCAGAGTAAAGTTAAAAAATAAAGAGGCATAGGAAATTTCTGGAGTTGATGAATATTTCCACCACCTTTGTTATGATAAAGATTTCACAAAGTATGCCTATGTCCAAAGACATTACATTGTATGTTAAACATCCAGATTATCATAGCAGTTATTCCTCAAAGAGCCACTTTAAAATATAATATACATGTATATGTGCATGTTGCAATACACATATATAAATAAAATACATGTTCCATAAGGCCAAGTGAAATGTGTTCTTCTTTCAGCTTCCAAAAAAATTACAATTTCTTGTAGTCCTTCATGGTATCCAGAAAAGCCTGTTGTTTCTCCAGGACCACCGCACCAAGTAGCATGTGTTGAGAGAGGGACAGTATGACTAGAGAGGGACAGAAGACAGAACTCTTCATTGGTGGAAATTTAAATAACTTCCCTTTGCCAAATCTATAAAAACATTCTACCACAAACTTTGCTAGCCTCCTTGTAGTGCCTTCTCAGAGGCCCATGCAAACAAGGAGCCCTGAAACCAAAGCTGTCATAGTTTCACAGTGAATCTGCCTTTTCATCCATAATTTCAGGACCCTACAAAGTAACTTTTTAGGAACAGAGATTTTATTCATCTCCTTTCGTGGCTGCTGGGAATTGAAGGAACCAAGTGACTTTGAAGCAGAAGCAAAGGCAGAGGAGCAAGTTGCTGGGTTAATATTCTTTCCCCATATGAAAAAGCATAGAACTTATCTTTAAAACTAAATGGAGAAGTTGGAGTTATTTGAATCCATCTGCAATGTGGCTCTTAAAATTAAGGAAAAATTGGTGCTGTTTGTTCTTTCACTTGTTTTTATTCTATTTTCTCTTTATGAACTTCTCCGTCAAAGGGTTTACATATCTTTTTAGTGAGCCCTTGTGACATCTGCATTGCTGGCTAGGTCTGGCCTCTCCCAAATGACATGTTCTGATTCATAACTGCCGTAGAGATGTCTGAGTGTCAGCCAGTGTGTGAAGCTAATCTTACTCTCCTGACCCCAACCTGCCTTCCTCTACAACTCTCTCTGACTAAAGCAGACAACATATTCTCTCACTCCTCTCAGGGTGCAATCTTTGGAGTTATTTTCATTTTTCTTTCCTTCACTATTATCTCTCACAAATGCTAACAGTTTTGCTGCCAAAAATCAAAGTTCTTTCTCATCCCTCTTGGCCATTATCTATCTTTGCTGATGACCTTGTTTATTAGTTGGTGAGATTACTCCTGTCATTTTAATGCTAGGTTCTCTGCACCACATAGTGTGGCTTACTTCTAGACACATGGCCAGTCACACATAGGTCTGAGCACTTAACTACTTATCACAATTTGAATATATTGATATAAAATGTTGATACATCAATGTAATACTCAGGTCACATCATCCAGCATTTCATAACCACCAACAGCAAGAGTGGGAGCTACTGAGTATTGAGGATGCATCCTTAGTGCTTAGTACATAGAACATACCCATCTTTAATTGACTGATATTTCATTGCAAGACTGATTTTATAATTCATTTTTTAAAGATTTATTTATTTATTGGAAAGTCAGATATACAGAGAGGAGGAGAGACAGAGAGGAAGATCTTCCCTCCGATGATTCACTCCCTAAGTGAGCGCAACTGCCGATGCTATGCCGATCCAGAGCCAGGATCCAGGAACTTCTTCCCGGTATCCCACATGGGTGCAGGGTCCCAAAGCTTTGGGCCATCCTTAACTGTTTTCCCAGGCCACAAGCAGGGAGCTGGATGGGAAGTGGAGCTGCCGGGATTAGAACCAGCGCCCATATGGGATCCCAGCACATTCAAGGCAAGGACTTTAGCCTCTAGGCCATGCCGCCGGGCCCTGATTTTATAATTCTTGAATATTATAAGCATCTTGAAGTTTTTGCATTTTGGTCCTTGTATTCTCTGGCTTGATTTTCTCATTTCTCATTCTTTCCCACTTCCTTAATGGCTGCAAAAATTCTATCCCGCATTGATGAACAATTACCACTCTTTCTCTCATGAAAGGACTACAATGTCTGGGACCCCACAAGACCAGAACTTGTAATCTAGAACTCAGTGTAGGTCTACCATCTGGATAGCAGGTGCCACCCCACTTGAGTCACATCACCCCCTCTACTATCTACACACATTGTCAAATTGTTGGAATTGAGAGCAGCGCCAGAAACTGACCGCAGGGACTGTGACAATGATGTGGGTGTCTTCATCACTGTAGTACTATATGA